TACCCGACCGCGCTGGGCTATATGTACGGGGGCGTATTGGACTGTACCCGACCGCGCTGGGCTATATGTACGGGGGCGTATTGGACTGTACCCGACCGCGCTGAGCTATATGTATGGGGCCGTATTGGACTGTACCCGACCGCGCTGGGCTATATGTATGGGGCCGTATTGGACTGTACCCGAGTATGGGTCTCATCTGTGGTGTACCAGGCTTTACAGAGCAGTTTCTCCCACCAGAAATGCCACTGGACTCCCTGGCAGGCAGGACAGGGAGGGCTGATATCGCAGATGAACCCCCCCAGTCACGCAAAGCAGCCCCGGCTGGCCCCCCCACAAATCTATTTGCTTTCCATTTCCTTCTCCATTACCCTGGCGAGCAGAGCATATCAGTAAAGCAACACCCAGGCACAACAGTGTGTCGCACGGCACGCCGGAGCCGTCGTCACCATGGGCACAGTCACCGTGGCCACAGTCGCCACGGGCACAGTCACCACAGTCACCGTGGCCACAGTCGCCACGGGCACAGTCACCGTGGCCACAGTCGCCACGGCCACAGTCGCCACGGGCACAGTCGCCACGGGCACAGTCACCGTGGCCACAGTCGCCACGGGCACAGTCGCCGTGGCCACAGTCGCCACGGGCACAGTCTCCACGGCCACAGTCACTGTGGGTTGCGCATTGCATGAAGTAGCACGCTTGAGGTCAAACCCTACACGTGTAGTTACTACACCTCTCACTCTTTTCCAGACCACAGCATGAGCAGCATCCAGTGGCGTGTAGCTCGTCACGGCTGTCCTTCCGCTCCTAGTCCCCTTTGTGGACTTTCCAGTCCCTGGCGAATCAGGGCCCTTTATTTTCAGCTCGTTTCTCAGGACAGCGGATACACCCTGGCAGATTTATTCGCGAATTCTCAGCAAGCCGCCTGTCCTCCATGCAGAACGTGCTGTTAAAGGTCTCTCCTCCCGACTCTCTCTCTCTCCACAGGACCATGAGTTCATCATGCTGTACAACGACGGCAACACGGAGGTGGTGTCCATGTGGGTGTGCCGCTGCCTCGAGGAGAGGAGGGCCCAGCAGCCGCAGCCGCAGCCGCACAGTGTCATGTGACCTGGCGTGACACAGTGGGGGCAGCTTGGGAGATGGCAGTGCCACTTAGGTTTTTTTTCCTTTCTTTTTTTTTTAAATTTTAAACCTTTTGCAAATCCCAAAATGGATGAGAGAACCTCGCTAGACCTTCTGAAGCATGTCTGTAGTCCACAGTGCCTGAGGTTCAGTGCTATAAGATGCCTCTGCACAAACTGGAGGTGATCAAGAGGAGAAACAGGAATGGACGCAAGTGTGGCCTATTTGCTACGCCCCCGGACACCAGATGGGCTACGCACGGCGCAGGCCTGGATCCACTTCTGCGTGGCCACACGGGACAGCCCACAGAGCTGCACAGCCCAGGAGATTAAAAGACAGTTTTTGGGACAGCTCCTCTCCCGCACCAGTCACGCTTCGTCCATGCAACGTTTTCCGAGCATGGTCCTGCATGGTTTGCCTTCTCGTTCACCGATCAGGCTGTTGCCATCATCAGGTCCCGCTGTGGGTCATCTCCGTGACCACCGGTATGTTTCAGGTGGTTCAGTGCTGTAGATACCTGGACGGGCCCTGTCAGACCCGAGCTTGGCTCTGAGCTCTGCCGCAGTTCTGGACCCTCAGCTGTCGTCTTGTACTGCATCTTCACCTTTAATAGCTCAGAGCACAAATTAATGACCTAAACAGGCTTTAAGGAAACAAACAAACCCTTCCCTTCTTTCTTACATTTTTCTTGGTGGTTATTGACATTTCAAACATATTGCTGTTATATAGTTAAATTGTACATTTCGGCTACTGCCTGATGTAGCGTAATAAACAAGGTCTGAATATCACACACAAGGTTTTAACAGAAGTGCTGTAGTTGGCTGAAATACAAATGAATGTTTTTCCAGTAAACCAAGATCAGCTTACCGGTCAGCCGGATTAAAACGTTAAAAGCTTTATCCTAGTAAGCAAACTGGGTTTTCTTCAGGGTATGACAGCTCACAATCTACTTAATGCTAACTGATCAAAGAGGTTTTGCTGTGGAGAATTCAGACCTAGGGAGTTATTGCCAACATCCCTTTATGTTATGTCCAGTGCGGTCCATTAGGTAACCTGACAAACCTCAGTGCTGCTTCCACCTGAAGTGTATCCCCGGAGTCCATATGTGTGCTGTTGGTATGTTTGTTTTCAGTTTGTTCGGTATTTCATCGGGTCTCCTGATTTCTGTAATATTTAGAATATCTCCACGTTGCATAACGCCTGAATCACAAAAGGTTTCGGCAGTGCCGCCAGTTTGGCCAAAATGCTGGCAGCTGATATTACCCCCGCTGTCCATTCAATTCGCCCTGAGCGGAAGCTGGGCGCCGTAATTTCCCGCCGTTTTTACAAGAACAATTTTCCTGTATATACCTTTGACCGCTAACTTCCTTTTCTATTGTTTTATTTTCTTTTGTAGTTAAACGTAATCGTGTTTCAAATCCAACGAAATATATTAATAATGTTTATAAGCGAGTAATTGGCAAAAAAAAACTGGTTCACAGCTGAAACTTTTTTTGTAGGTAACTCAATAATGACGTATGTCAGTAAGACCCAGCTTACCCATCAGTCTTTTTTCTTACAAGACAAATGTCATAGACACATAAAAATTGTCTGCTTAAGCTGAAACTGGCGGCAGCACGAAAGCAATGAAACAAAATAAGATTAAAGTGAATCTTAAGCCACTTTTAAAGTATTTTGCACTGTTTGGTAGCACTGGATGCACAATGAAATAAACTTGCAATGTAAATAACGGGATATCCGTAAACTTACACGGCGGTTTGCGGAGATCCCTGTACAAGTTACACAAATAGAAAGTAGCATGTTTTCCAGTATTAGATTCAGCCGTCATCTTATTTTTATATACATTGAAAAAAGTAATTAAAACACATTTTGTTGCTGATGTTCCTGTTGTTCAACGAGAAGAGCTGAGATTGTGATTGAACAAAAACTTTATAATGAAGCGTTAATGTGGAACGACATAAAATGATGGACAAGCGGAGCTGTGCTGTTCAAATAATTTTCTTCACAAATCTCTGTTGAACACCGGAGTTGGACTTTGTTACTGCTGTCTGTAATTAAGAAATATTCGTCAGGTTTTTTTCTTTCATTTTTATGCTGTTTTGCAGTGTGTGTCAATTCTTTGTTACAAGGAGCTGATCAGCAGAAATATGCCAAGATTCCTCTGAAGAAATCGCGGAAGTTCCAGCCTTCGAGACATTTTTGTTTTTTTGCAAACCCGAAAGCTGCGTAAACTTTAAATGCCACAGCGTGAGAGGCCGAAACTGCCAATGATGTAAATATGATCCAGTCGTAATTAGGTGTGCGTTGGATTGCACTGCCTAACAATACGGGAATTGTTGTAATCAATGTACTGAAGCCGGACCGCTGTCTGTACACTTTGTAAATCATTCTAACCGATCATATCGCATCCAGCTTGGGGCGGGGGGTCCTCTTCTCTGCCCTCTTGCCACGGGCTTAATGCAAAGGACAGCACGGCCTCCTTAAAACCTACCTTTATGCCCCATTCTCTGCCGCCTGTTTGGGTTTTTTAGATATATACCTGTAACCAATGTGTGTCACTTTTCTTCATAGTAATATGAAAATAGAAAATTTGTGTGGCTCTGAAACATCGCTTTACTGTGATTTAAGTAACCTTTATTTGAAATCACATTTATAGAGGCCTATGTAGTTGTACGTGTCTGTTAATGTAGTTTTCATGGAGGGAGGGGAATTCACAGGGCGGGGGCAGGGAGGCCTAATGTGTGCAATAATACAGACAGAAAAATGGAAAATAAAGTCCAGTTGTTTTTTTTTCTTCCTCTCAAAGTGGTGGTTTTGTTATTTTTACAACTTTGTGCTTAAACATCCGGGCGTATCTTTAACTTTATCGGTATCCTGGTGAGCAGCATGCTTAACAGCAAAGTGAAAATAAATTAATGCAAAATTAAGCTGTTGCTTTTTAAATGCACAACCCTATTAAACGGATATACGATCCCGGCGGAACGCCGCGGTGCTTCGAAACGACTATCGCTGAGCTTTTAACCCTTTATGCAAGGAAGCGTAGTTGTAGAAAAAATGGTTAAAGTTTTGATTTTGTTAGATTCCCTTGCATCACGCATTTAACGCAGCCGTGGGTAAGTAGATATTCTAGTTCGGACTTTTTTTCCCCCACCTAGAAAAAGCCTAAACCCATATAAGTCATTGTGTCCCTCACAGGTTTATTGAAATTGTATGTACATTTAAACTGTTTTACATTTTAATGTAGTCATTTGTCTCCTGACTACAAGACGCTTGTTAAAGATGTGGGGTGATGTTTTAATTTGTCTCATCTTGTTTCTGTCTCCGTTTGAGCTGTTTAGTGTCGGCAGTGCTCTTCCTAATCGATAACCTTGTCTATTGACTGCTTGGTTTTCATTTCGCTCTTACCAACACACGGCACCCCCATCAAGATGAATTAAGCAGAACTTAAAACAGGACTCTTCACTTGAACAGTGCTGAAACGGTAGAGAAAAATACGGGGGTGGGAGGGGAGACATGAACAGCTTCAGTTCTGTATGGCGAGGATACACGCTAAGAATAGTTCGTTGGTTACAGCCCTCCGCTGTCTTTACAAATATTTTCTGTTAAATAAGGAATCCTTCTGGGAGACGGGCTTCGATTCTCGTATTGCCTTACAGAAAACAGCAGATCATGCGCAGTATCTCGCCGTCTGTTGTGGCTTTTCTGTTGTCCTGCGCGTCCGGGGCTCCGCTTTCACTACGTTTTTCACTACGTTTTCTTGCTGTGGGACTGCGTGGTAAATATCCAATCTCTCGGATCTGATTTAAACCCCTCTACCATAATAATGACGCTGTTTTCAACTATTAAGTATTCTACACGAGTGCCAATTGTTTAGCTGACTATTTCATTCGCAGCGACTGTTTTAGGCCTAATCGTTGTTTTGAAAAGATTGCAGGTGATGAATTATTATGTCTTACCCGAATCAGGACATAAAGCGCTTGGGAAGCAGTTAAATTGCAATTATGGAAATTGTGCGGGATCGTCAACCTGCCCTAACACGGACAAACGTGTCCGTGGCAAAATATTTTGATTGGGAAAAAAGCTGTAGGCCACGTTTTTAAATGCCGTGTAGTAAAAACTACATTTTGATCAGAATGTCCCTCAGAATTAACCATGGTGAAGAGCAGGAAGTTTATACGTGATCCATTATCACCAGGTACATTTTAGTGAGATGTTGACAGACTTTGAAAAATATGTCTTTTATAATATCTTTTCAAAGGTAATACATGAATATGGAATTGAATTGGATTTTATCTCAGCAATACAGAATTGAGTAAATTCATTAATAAAACCTAAATATACATTTTATCTATTGATATGCAAAACACAATGTGATTCTGTACCAGATGGAAACTGGGATGTTCAATTTGTTTTGAACACAAACACGTCTGCCGAAATATTGACCCGGTTTGGTGCGGAGATTGCATCTCCATTCAGTGACACGCGGCCCCCTTCGCGCTGCCATTTGCGCTGGATGTTCGCTTCTGCGTTGCACTGACTGCGCCAGTGACCTTTCGTAGAGCAGTCCAACTTGATTAGCACATCAGGTCAGACAAAGTGTGCCAGCCCTCTAAACAGCCATTCCCAGGATTCTTTTATCAATGTCCAGTAATTAAAATGTCACCATTTAATTTTCAGGCCACACTGATCCTCTCGGAGCAATCTTTTCCTAATAAAGGGTGTAATCGAAATGCTATTTTCATTCGAAACAAAAAAGGCTGCAAGAGGCGATTTTAGTGTATCAAGTCGAGGATCAATATGAAATAAGCGGATTGATCTGCCTCTAAAATTAAATTTATTGGGGTCATGGTTTTATATGGTGCTGATACAACTGTTAAATTGAGAACATTCGTTTTCAATAGGTGCGTTTATTAAACTTCCACTGAATTAGACTGCTGTGATTTATGTGGCAATCTTTCTGTTGGCCTCAAGGAAAAACCTTTATTTTTATATGATACGGTTCCGTAACTTTTAACCTAAACATTTCCCGGGCTGCTTCAAAAGTAAACAGATCTGGGAATTTTTTTTTTAATTCCTGCTGTTGCACTTTTTCTTTTTTACTATCGATAACCGGTAACCATTTTCGTAAGGCAAAAAAGTATCGAGGATATTGTAATGTTAAATTGTAATGTTCTTAATTAAATATTGATGTCGTCATTATTTATGTGTTAATTACTACGGTGTAAGTGCTAGTTGTATGAATTCTGAAGAGCGAATAAAGGCAACGTGTACTTGGTTGATACCGTTAATGAATTAACGTAGTCGAAGAGCAAAAAAAAAAAGGTTAACAAATATGTGAGTGATTCCCAGTTTAACCTCTTCCACTATTACGTGGCCGCGTGATGTTGCTAAATAATAAATAAATAATTAAGGCTCGTCTCGAGGTCACGGGCGCCTCCCCGCCGGTTTGCGAGCCGCGCTCAGCGCCGCCTGCCTCCGCTCCACGCCGATTCCCCCTCGCAATAACACGCTCTTCCAGCCATCTGCCTGTGCTCTGGAAAACGTTTAATAACCCGCTGTGCATTTATAGAATCCAATAGACATTAATTCTGTACGACAGCCTTTTGGTTTGTTTGTTTGTACAAAGCAATCGTGTGAAAAGAAAGGTTAGTGTTAAAGACGGTGCCCCATAAAAATTAAAGGTGCTATGTTGGTAGTTTTAAGCATCGGTTTAATTGTTCCTATTTTAATTGTGAATACCCCCCCCCCCTCAAATCCATGGCAAGGCTTATACAGTTATCTGCATTTCCCACAGCATTTTCTTGCGCATATATACCAAAGAGTGTGTTTGTTTCTTTTATATTATTCTCTTAATTGCCATGAGTCGTGAATAAACTGGTTAAATCAATTTCACTCAAGGTGCTCTGGAATAATAATCACAATTATATACATTTACTTTTAGTGCGACCCGATTGTCAATTAAACAAATTGTTTTCTCTTTCTTGGGGAAAAACCGCCAGTCATCAGCTGTAGTCATTAGTCCTCTTTACACTGGAGAACACTGACTCATTCAAAGCTCAGCAGGCATGTAATGGGGACATACTGTACATATGAGAAGGGGTTGAGCGTGCTATGGTGTTGGTTTAAAGACTGTCCTGCTCTCCACTGTGTCTGCTCGTGTGACGGGAGAGCCGCCAATGGACACTGTATGGCGATACTACGCCGGTGGCGATACATTGTCTTGGGGTTTCATCTAAATCAAATTCTGACCGATACTGAAGTCTGGAAGATCTCAGCTTCTTCTCCACTGGGTTAAATCTTATACAGATGAGGTTTCTGGAGGCTGACCGGCGTCTGGTCCTTTGTGTTATGTTCAATAGTCAATTTTATCCTCAGTTTTACCACGTGGTCGGAGTCTCTGTGCATTGTTTTTCAACGACTGAAATGTGTGCATACTCTTGTATCGATTGCTGTCTCCAATAAGTAGATTGACATAATGGCTATCGTCAGTCGAACACTTACAGTATAAAATTACACTGAAACATTTCATCATGTCGTTGGACGGGCTGTCTAGGGTTACTTCCAATGGGGCTGCTTTCAGACGTACTGTACACCTTGTATTTGTTATTGTTTTGAAGGGAAAGGGAAAATTAATAGATCGCATTGTGGACGAGTCCTCTGCCAGTTTCCTAAAGAAACATCGCACATTAGTGCATATTTTAATCAGAGTCGGGAGGCCTGCCGGGGCCTCACAAACAGATACAATTAATATCCAAAGCTGAGAAGCAAATTAACGCAGAGCCGTAATACTCCACTACCGCGCAGGGCTTTTTCTTAATTAAAACTTTCATTGGAATAATGATAACAAAACTGAAGAAGTGCAAGCATGTCTTTGCTGACTTATTTTTAAAACTAACCATTTAATCTCTCTAGCTGATTATAAACAAAATAATTACATCTGTGAATGTAATTATTTGTGTTCAGAAATGCTAATACGGAAATTTAAAGGCGACTAATTTTTAGTCTGCTTTCTGATAGTTACAACTTTTTTAAAAAACGGAGTCAGAAATTGTTAAAGGAGTGTCCAGTCCTTGCATTTCTTAATATCAATAAATTAAACTTCTACTTCTCTAGCGGTAAGCGGTAAATGAGAAATCGTGGCGCCGAGACAGCTCGGGCAAACTTGACAGTATCCGGTTGAAAAAAGCAGAGCGAATTGGGCGTGTTTCGCATTGAGAACCTCTGTGCTCTTAAGATGTTGGTCATCCTGCCCCGATTCTCCTGAACCACAGCGACTTAAGTTTTATTTTAAAAAGCTATGGTCTTCATTGTTTCCAGAAGTTGCAAAGTAAGACTTTACTTTGCACTGATTTTAAAACATCATAGGCTCATTGTAATTATATAAAATGTCATTTTATGTATGTATTTACCTATTCATGCATTCATTCATGTGACAGAAGCTTTTCCCCAAAGCGACTTACAGTTTACTGCACGTAACAAGTACATTAGAACAACAAATCCAATGAAGACCAGCGCACAAACTGCTTGAGTAGCATTGGTACCTATGTGATTCTGTCTTATTAAATCATAATATAAAACAGGGTTTACGTTTAACAGCCCCAATAACATCGCGAGAGAGTCGTTATATTGACTGATTTCACGGTAGTTTTGTATAATGAGATGCATACAAATTATCCTGAGCGTTAACATAGTTTGACAAAAAAAAATCAGTTTTATGGAGTAGCCGTTCTGAAGGTACAGAAGAAGGAGAATAAACATTTTAAAAGGCAATAAATAGAGAAGTGGACAAGTTAAAGTATCTATATAATAAACGTAGATAACTGAAGGAAATAGCTAATGGTAACGCAAACAATAGGCAATGCAGCTGTTATTTAACATCGCCGTTAAGAGTGATGTCATTCGGAAGCTGTGAACTTACTTAAAGCAAAAAAAAAATCTAAGATGCGTGCTGTGTGGGATTTTGGTGCAGTGGCGAAACGAAGATTTGTTTACTGTGACAGCTATCGTTTAAAAATCAGCAAGAAGAACAACGTACGGTTTACTCAGTGACAATGTGCAGTCTATAATTGAACTGAAGTCTGTTTTGTACGAAAAAGTATCCGCAAAAGCAGATAGTTCCATCCAGTTAAATTTCACCCGCTATAACAGATGTTTCCTGTTACCTGTCACAATTTGTTCCTTTTTATATCTGTCCGACGTTGCTTTTGCAATTCGTATTTGAAATCTGGCCTTCATAGTACATTGTATGCCAGAGTAAAAATTTGTGTGTATCAAAGGATGCATCTAAACAGCTTTTTAGTTGTTATTTAATCTTGTGCTTTCTGCCTTTGGTCGAAAAAAACACATTTGTACAGCACTACACCTTAGAGACCAGACATGAGTCTCTAAGTCCGACAAGCATGCTGTAGTATATTTAATGGTTAGGGATTTATTATACCTTTTTAAAAGTTTGTGTAGCTTTTGTGTATGATTAATGCTATGGCAAGACACAAGGCAAATATTGACAGAGCTGGGGGTTGTATATAACAGTCAATGCGCATTTAAAATGTGCTACGAGTTTAGTTTTAAAACACGTTCGGCTCTTTTTTTTTCTCTCTAGGCAGTTTATCGAACGCTGCTATGGTGTCTTCAAAATATTTCTCGCTTTATTTCTGCATGATATTTTGTTGCACGTCCGTAAATCTAACAGTAGACTTTGCAAATTAAAATCTTTTAGTGAGTACAGTTTAGCGACTTTAATCTACGCTGCATTAATATTTAAATGCTAATTTGTTTAAACAATTGAAAGCACGCAAATGCGGCTCAGATCATTTACTCTAAGAAAAAATCTTATTCAAGTCTGTCCAGAGGTAATGGAAGGGCTTGTCTAGAGTTACCGCTGAAAGGTCTAATTAAAAGCGCACGGGCTGATCTGTCGCTGTGCCGGTGCTGAACCCAAACGCCGATGAGTGTTTTAGGACATATGAGCCCGTAAGTTTTCTCAGGAATAATCAGTAACAATGGGGCATTTAACTTGTGCTCTGAATTATTAAGAAGAGAGAAATAATTACAGTATAAAATTGTAATTATTGTTGGGGAGGAGGAAAACCTCTTGATTGTGAAAGATGACACGGACCAGCCAGATCGGGTTTAAGTTCCTCTCTCCATTAATATTGCAGTGTTCTGGGCTGATAGTGTCGCTGTCAGATCTCAGTATCGAAGCAGCTAAAAATTTACAACTTCGATGCACTGGACGGTCTCATTGAGTCCAAATCAGACATGAAACGCCGCGAAACAAATGCGGAGGTCTTGGGAACCTGATAGATCATCATCCACGTTACCTGCAGTTCTGCACCATATTATCATTATGCAAATATACTAAACATGTCTGACTAAAAGATCCCTGCTGTTTCGCCTTATACGGCTGTTTCAGAAAACCGATGAAATCTTATTCCGATTTCTGAACTAACGTAAAAGTATCGATTCTGAAAGAACATTACGCAGTTCCTGTATCTGTTATCTCCATTGAAAATAGAAGGCATGCATTGTACGTTGCCTATCCAGCACTTGTCGAATGTATACAGACCGAATATATATTTGGCTATAAAAATGACCAAGATCAGTAATAAATAATGCATAAAACATTATGTAACCCATGCCTTGCTTAACAGCAAAAGCTGTTCTAGTTCAATAGGGTCTGCTTAGCAAAAGTGTAGCTTGAGGCCGTTTGTGGACGTTTGATTAGGGTAATTGTTCACATTTTGGCCTAGACAGTATGATTAATTACAGTTTAATCAACGCGGCCATTAAGGACAGTTAATAATATGGCATTGTTTAAAGAACCCGGGGAAATTTGGACTCTTTATGCATCGTAATTTGTATTTAAATGGTATCCCCCCTCTAAACTATGTTCCTGAATCTACACATCTTTCCTCGGTCGTCCTATAAAACTGCGGTGAAAGATTAATAAACTAGACAGGCTGCTGTTACTGTGGAACTCTTCATCATTATTGTTGCTGTTATTGATTTTTTTGCTATTACACCTATTGTACAAAGTTGTTGTTGTTAATATTTTTAGTGTTGTTGTTGTTATTCCTCAAAATACCCCATTATTAAATGAATGCGTAGATAAGATTTTGTCGGCCCTGGGAAAACCTGCGCCGTTTGAATGAGTTTGCAAAACCTTCACATTTTGCCGATTGAACTGTATGCATTTGCATGCGTATATATGTGTAGTTTTAATTGGGTATGAATATTAGGACAATTGCTCTCAAATACATGTAATCCTGGTAAATACAGCTAAATTGTAGCGCACACTGCGCTGAATCTTTCCTGTTTATTCTTAGATGGATGCGTCCGTATAGGCTCATGTTTTACAATAGACCGATAATTGATATTTCATTGAAGGACTGAACAAGGTTAACCGTGGGCATTGATCAGACCGCGCCGTTAACCGTGTCCGAATACTTACCTAAGACTGAGGCCAGAAGCCATACTTTAAGCTAGGTGTGCGCTGCAGTTCTCCCCATCTAAAGGTCCCTCGAAAGTGGGTGTATCCACGATGTAACATAAATAAACCGAAGTCAGCCAAGTTAAAATATTGTTCAGTGAACTACCGTCTCTTGTAATAGTATAATGTTGGAAAATACGGTGTCGGGAACCCATTTTTGAAAGATAAATTATATGTCATCCATAATACCCCCCCCCCCAAAAAAAAAATAACATTCAGTCAAATTTAATTTCTTATTTAGCAGAATATAGTAATTGATGCCACGCGCCTATGAGACATTATACAGATGGCAGTGTAACCACGAGAAATAATAAAATGTATTTTCAGGATGTCGATTTTTAGTTAATTATTTTAGTGTCAGGGATTTCTTAATTTGCTTGTCACTGCCGTACTCAGATACGAATTAACGTTAATAACCACTGTGAAACAATTTAACAATTATCTAGACCCAAATTTTGTCCCGTGCCAAAATCCTTTATTCTTCAGTCTTCCGATGCACTTCCACTTCTGTTCTAGAAACACTCGTAAGGACATCTACAGTCTAAACATAACAATCGAGCACTAAAAACGTCCAGTAGCCTAAGTCGTGTTTTTTTTTATTTAAAAGTATCTTGTTCGTTAATAGAATCATCAAAGCGCACCTTACCTGTGCAGCTGCACTGAGGAAATGAAGGCTACGTTATATATCAATAAAAACGTTGTAGCCAACTCATCATGACACACTAAAATAATTACTGTACATAAACAAATTACAAAGACAATATATTTGGATTACAGATGCATGTGCTTTTTCGTTCCTATTGTTTCCAGCATGAAAAAAAAGATCACAGGTTCAATTTAAATTGTCTGGTTGACAACCATGATTGTCGTTTTCCGCCGGTCCCGAAGGCAAACAGTTAATGTAAATATGTTGGTGCTAAGTGGGTGTGCCTTGCCATTAGTTTAGCTGTCACTTGATCAGCGCTGAGTGTCTTCAGTGAGGACTAGCGAAGAGACCAGGACTGCCATGTGGTCACTCACCTCCCGCTCCCCACACACTGCACGAGAGTCGAGCAGGATGGAGGTCCACTCGTTGCACTGAGATAAACAGAGAGAGAGAGCGAGAGAGTGAGTGAGAGAGATCAGCAGGCTGATAGACTTCAATATCTCACCAAATCTAAACACCGAAATCCTACACCAATTTCGCCTCGAACTCTGGACGATTTCTGATAGTTACTGATAAAAAAATTTGAGAGCCGTTCTGTATAATTAGAGTTTGCTGTTTCCAGGGAACAGTGATTTCCTCCCTCGAAATAAGGTAAGATCGCTCACTGAGTATCATTATCTTTAGTGTTCCTGCTGATGCGCTGTCATCGTCATTAGTCTAAATATCGTAATTTCGATGAAGATCATGTATTTTACTTCTGCGTTAAAGTGTAACAAAAAATTGTGGCTCAGAATGACATTTTCTTGTTCTCATGTTTGTTTTTATAAATTGCTTAAATATTTATATGTTTTTTGGCCTAATTAACGGTCATTTTCTTTTCCGCGTTAATTAAATTCCCGGCCTACAAATCATATACCACATGTAAATATTGTATATTTGTACGCAAAGCCAGTATATCGTGTTACTGACTGAAAACGATCATTTAGAAACGAAACGTTGCTTTGAGCGGTAGCAATTTCAATGTTTTAATTATACAAGACAGGGCTATTATTAACAGATCAAAGACGCACAACTGAATCTGTGTAATTACAACGAAAGCAGCTTAGTCGTTCTTTACTTCGAAGATAAGCTCATTGGCGCGGCTCAAAGTATATTTTCCTTCTGCTCTTTTACGTGTTAGCATCTTTATCGGCAGAGTTAAGTAATCTTCCTCATTGCTGAGCCGACCTAAAGACGTTAAGGAGAGGTTTCGGGATCATACTGATAATAGAGTGCAAACTTAACTCTTCAGGATATGTAATTCAGACCAGCTATAAAATGTACAAGCACATATACGTCGCAAATAATAACAGGACTTATACAAAGCAAATCTAACAAATCCCCCTTTCCTTTAAAAATAACAATGCCGATAAAAGAAATTGTCCTGTATTATGATAAACATAATCCAGAAAATTTATATTTAGAATAAAGAATTTTGGCGAAAAATCAAGGGAAATATTGCTGGTTATATTAACCAAAAAAAAAACAAGTTTTGTTTAAAACAGACGGTCAGTGTGACTAAAATGAAACGTAGCCGCAATGAAGGTCACTTCGCTCTCATAATTAACAACTGCGTTTCATAAACTACAGATGCATTATATATGAGGCGTCTTTTGCTACTTTTTTCTTTATTTTGCACTAATGCTGTTATGTTTAGCTTACTATATTTTCAATGTTATGCATTTATAATTATTAGAGAACAAATGTATTTGAGTCGATTTTATTACTGTTCAGTTTTAAAATGTTTCTATAATTAATTACATACACATATATATTTACCATATGGTATAAAGAAAAATAGTCCATTTTGAATAGCAAAAAAATGTCGCGGTATATTCTTTCCAACAAACAATGAATGCGATTTCGAAAATTTCACTGGTCCGTTTCATTGACTATGAAAACCAGGGCTTATATACCAGATCCAAATACTATTGCGTAAAGGTGATGATGTTTGCAAACAAAATTCCCTGTAAATATAACCATAGTCTAGACTTTTTTTTTAATACTAATTGAAATGTTTCTATTATTATTTCAGACTTCCAGGAATGGAGTCGATCCCCAGTCAGCTTCCAACGGGACGAGATTCCAACTCTTCCCCCAACTCGAAACAAGAACTTCAACCATACTCCAGTACCAGCTCTCTTAAACCCAACCAAGTCAGTGAAACTGCGTTATATGGAGTTCCCATCGTTTCTTTGGTAATAGACGGCCAAGAAAGACTCTGCCTGGCACAAATTTCAAATACTTTATTAAAGAACTACAGTTACAACGAAATCCACAATCGACGCGTTGCTCTTGGGATCACTTGTGTGCAGTGCACACCGGTCCAGCTCGAGATTTTGCGGCGCGCGGGGGCAATGCCCATATCTTCAAGGCGCTGTGGGATGATCACCAAGCGCGAGGCCGAAAGGCTCTGCAAATCATTTCTTGGCGCTCACAGTCCCCCCAAACTACCCGAAAACTTCGCATTTGATGTGTCTCACGAATGCGCTTGGGGAAGCCGCGGTAGCTTCATACCAGCTAGGTATAATAGCTCTAGAGCGAAGTGTATTAAGTGCACGTATTGCAATATGTACTTTTCTCCCAACAAATTCATCTTTCATTCACATCGTACTCCCGAGTCAAAATACACGCAGCCAGATGCTGCTAATTTCAATTCTTGGCGGCGCCACCTCAAATTAACAGACAAAAGCATATCGGACGACGTGGCCCACGCGTGGGAGGACGTGAAAGCCATGTTCAATGGCGGAAGCCGTAAAAGGACGCTCCCTATTGGGGCGTCTGAGCGTTCTTCTCCTCTAAAACCACCGAGTTCCGGCAGCCTTCCTCAAAGCAGTTCACCCGAGATCCCTCACAAAACTATGCGCTGCGAGGAAGACCGAGATAACCTCAGCCTGGCTAACAGCGTGCGCAGCTACCCCGTCATTCCTGTGCCAAGTAAGAGTTTCGGGATGTTGCAAAAAATACCACCGCCGCTCTTTCCACACCCGTATGGATTTCCAGCATTTGGACTGTGTCAAAAGAAAGACGATGGCGTTGGAATCGGAGAACAAAATAAAACCAATCTGTCTGGTGTGTTTTGGCCCGGAGCAAAGGACAGTGTATACCCTTCTTTCCCAATGTTTTGGCCCGCAACCGGCAGCCTCCCCATCCCGCCTTACCCGCAATCGCAACCTAAACCGCCCACAGAACTTCTGAGCATCAGGCAGAATGAGCAGGACACTTCAGAGCAGAGCGACCGAAGCACCAACACTCCGAAGGACAGTCTTTTAGACAGTGAACGGTGCTCCAGCACTCAGTCTACCAGAAACGAAGAGGACAAATCCGGAGATGAGACTAGATCAATGGAGGGAGTACCCATTGCCCCAAGAAAAATAAGTTACATCTCTGCTTTCAGACCAGTCGTCAAAGACGCTGAAAGCATAGCTAAGCTTTATGGAAACCGAGAGGCGTACAATGGGGCCCGCTCCGGGTACATGTCACCAGATTTCATGAGCGAGAGTTCCAGTTATAGATCCGTGTCCCCCGACGCGGACAGCGCGGAAGAACCGGATGTGGATGTGGAATCGAACAGGATGCCCGAAGATGAAGAATCTCTCCAGCTTTCGGTGGAGGACCACCACAGCCCACCTGCACTGGTCATCTCTCAGGTCACCCCAGAAAAGAACCAGGAACCTGAGTCCGAACCGCTGCCCGCCCCGGAGGACTCGCAGAGAGGAACCTTCAGTGAGGCAGGATCCCCGGGCGAGGAGAGGCAGAGCGAACCCATAGCAGATGGCAATAACCACGCATCTTTGTATGAAGTCAGTATGCCTCCCATATAATTGTCTTTCGTGTTCAGATTCGCCAGATATATATGAAGAATCATCATATTCGTTTGCGTGAACACGCAAACGGGCATAATCCATTGTATACAATTTAAATGTACATTGCAAATACAAATAAGTGGAAACAAGAGACATAGTCTACGTTTGTAAATTAATTATTGCTAATACACTGAATAATGCACAAAATGAAAAAAAATCTATTATATTTTATATTTATAGTAACATTTATACATTTATATTATATATTTTATAGTTTTTATTATTTCTAGCTACTATGCTTAAAGTATTTTACATTCTCATCTTAACTGATGAGGTCATAGAGATATTTAGGCTTTGCGCTTTGAAGAGCTTCCAATCAAATTTCAGTAATTTCAGTGTTCATCGTTGTTTATTTGTAAATGCTGCTCCTCAAATATCCGTATAATTTGGCCTAGATAGCTACGATATTAGGACTCTGAAAAGGGGTGCAAATTAGGAGGTATAAACATTAATTGCCTGTTACTCGTTCACAATTTGGCCTTGCGTACGCGGCCGTATCAGATCTCTACAGAAAAGATCGGGAATTGTGTGGCATTAGAGAATTGAGGGTAATTACATTTAATTGCGCGGTTCATTTTACAGGTGTACGCACGTGAAAGAGATGAGCACATGCCCTTGAGTGTTCCAGCTAATTTTGGGCCAACCAAAAATTATCAGTGCGAGCTACTGGACTCAAACGGTATACTATTCTTCGTTTTCCTCCTACGCTTGTAAATGTAAAACAATAAATGCCTTTCACAGTTTGAATAACATGTGTATTTTAAATAAAAAATGTCATCCTGAGATGTACTGGATAAATATAAGACTATTAATAATAATAATAATAATAATAATAATAATAATAATAATAATAATAATAATAATAATTGTGATTATCGTGATGGGATTTTGTGCTCAAACATACGGAAATTAGCTGGATGCTGCTTTTCCCAGTAGAATTAAATAAGTGTGTTTCTTGCCGTTTAAGATTCACATAAAGAAGACATTTCTTCGACAACGAAAGAGATGGACTTAAAGAAAAGTTACCAGGATCAAGCCGCTGTCTCCAAGGAAAGTCCGAGAGAGCCACACGCCGGTGGGTTTGCCTTTATTGAGAGCAGCGCCATTTCTATTTACTTATTTTAATTCTATATTTTACTGCGTTCCACGGTAGCGCATAGTGTGTTTAGTGTACCCTGCAACATATATATGAATAGGCGTAAAAATGTCATTGTGGCTGAAGTCAGTCCAATTTGAAAGGAATTGCTCAGCAGACCATGAAGGTTGTGTATGTTTTGTTTCCGCAGGTGAAGAGGTGGTGCGCAGTGATGTTAACAGGGTACCATTCATGGAAAAAGACTTCGAGAACATGGCAAAAGGTAAATGTCCCAGCGTGGATGCAAACGTTTTGCTTTTATTTGAAATCATTATTATTAAAATTATAGGCCTGTTAATCTCATAATACAAGCATTCAAACATTACAGACATTTGCCGAAAAAAAACATTATTATTTCATATCGAGCCCGCGTTGCTTTGTCACGGGTGTTGCCCTAACGAATAAACGGTCTCATTTAGCCATAGCACACATTACAGTATATATGAGCATGTTTTGACAGGAAGCGGATAGCTTGAGGAGAAAACTCATGACTGCGCACCGACATCCCAGCCTAACGATGCTCAGAAAACTACGTTTCGCCAAGATGTATTATTACTGCACAGTTCATGCAAGTTGGGGGGAGGGGGGTGATGATGAAAGGTGACAGTATGCGATTTTGAGTATGTTATTACCAAGTCATTGTCAATAGGGCGTATCGTGTAAATCAGTTTGTTCTTTACTTCATCAGTCGTCACGCCGTATTAATATGAGGATACAGGTTTCGCGTTTACTGTCGGTAAAACTGATAAAGAAATCGTAAAGTAGTTCAGAGGAGCGAGTGACTGTGACGTCACGTTGCCTGTAAGTCCCTGCAGCGGTGCTCTTATCGCCAGGGCTAAACGACGGGAAATCCTCGCGCAAAAAACACTTCATGAGTAATAGCAGCTGTCTGAATATCGCACTGTGACTATGGAAATACATCAAATTGTCAGTCTCTATTTGGATACAGCAGGGCTGCCACGCGCTCCTCATTGGGGTTAAATGCCTTGTATGAAGTTGGTTATTGTCCTTTGTTGTCATATTAGTACTATTAACCGTTCTGAAGTTATTTATATATTTACAGAATATTATGCTATGTAGGTTAAAGAACATACAATAACGCGTATTACATTATCGCAAATATTTATTCTAATATCTGGTTGTCTTGTCAGGCAATATGGGTCCTAATTATTATTGATATTGTTATTTGATTCTTTTGATTGATAAAGATTGATGGACCACTAAATAGGCCTGTAATACAATTTTATCTGAAATGCTTTCCAATCGATTAACAAACGCCTGGCTTATTACAATGTTTCATTGTTCACAGTGATGTGTTGACTATTTGCAGCGTTTACTGCTTATATACTTATTTAATTTACTATTTCTATTATTGCTGTTGTTTTGTAAACAAAAAAATGCAGGTCTTAATTCTTCGAAATCTACTAGATATGGACAATAGACACTTGACTGTCACGTGAACCGAACAGCTATGGGGCTGCTTTGGTTTATCTTACGGTCAGTGGTTAACCATCCAAACAGGCTATTTCACGTTTAATGCTAAAAGATCCTAACCAACTGGTTATAAGTGTTAGAACCACAATATTTTATTTAATGACTCATGTAATGTTGAAAATGTGTGATTTATTGGATCATTTTAAATAGATCCTTGGGGAGGAAGCACGTGCGATTAACTTAAATGGCTAAAACACACCATTGGTTGACACGCCGCCCAAGCGCAGGGTCTTGATATACTAATATGGCGAAATACCGTAGCCAAGCTGCTAACATAACCAATGAGGGCGCTGTAGGCTAGTTGTGGGAATGGTAATTGCGATGAAAATCTCAACCCCAAGCCATGTTTTAGTCGATTGTGTCACTCCTTCCTTTAAAACAATGTTACTATATTTCGTTAATCTAGGGTAAATCAAGATGAATATTATTTTTTTAGCATCCATTTACAATTTGATGGGATACATTTAATGTATAATTCAGGTTACATTTCTAAACAAACTTCTTATTAGCTGCACGTAATCCTGGCAAAGCCCTTCAGAACGTAACGGAGAATTCGCGCGTGAAGTCTGGCGCCTTGAGAGATAAAAAATTAATACACCGTCACCTTATTGCGTTATTATGCAGATTTCTTGTTACAGAAGTACGTTCTGTAATGCCGGGACAACATAGTTCAGTTAATATTCTATATTAAATTTCATTTTGAATTAATAATAATTTAACAGTATTTTCTATTACCTTAAACTAATTGTCCCCCTTTCGCCCTGAAGCAGTAATTATCGTGGCGTTGTGTCGCCATACTAACCGTTTCTCTTTTATTCAAAGAGATTATACACTATAAATAAGTAAATTAATGATTATATTTAGTGATGGCGATACTTGTTCTATAAGTATTGTTCAAATTTAATACATTATCTGTATTTAAAGAGTTACCGTTTTTTTCGCCATTATTATTACTATTGCTTATTATTATTATTGCTGTTGTCTACATTAGAAACACTACTTCAATGACAAAATATTGCTATCGCCTCTGATTTTTTAATGTAATACAAATACCTTAAATTACTAAAACTAATATTAATATTGTTTTGCAGATGAATTGCAGAGACAACTCGTGGAACAAGTGGAACTCAGAAAAAAGCTGGAACGTGAATTTCGAAGTTTGAAAGGTAGGCTTCATTAAATAAAAATGTAGGAAGTGAGGATTTTAGAGGTTTCGTAGATATATGCAGTGTGTATACATCTTTGAACAATTTGTGCATGGAAAATGTTGTATTGACCAGTTTTCTGTGCATATAACATACAGGCCTTGGTCTTCTTCTGAAATGCATTTAACACCATTAAAATTCTAAGACTTTCTTTTTGTTACTAAGATTTATGCTGCTTAACTGACCAATAACACCGCGTTGCCATTCACATTATCCAAATTTTAACGAAAACACTATAAGGTAGCGTAACATAAGGGCAAACCTCAAAGCCGAGTACGTTATTGATGACTTAATACATAAACATCAAACAATTTTTGGTTTTATATTGATTTTTATTGTAGGCCTAAAATCTGTAAACCAAGGTTTAAACGACGAACGTGTGTAGGTTTTGTAATTTTGTGCTATTGTGATTACACTACAGACAATTTTCAAGATCAAATGAAAAGAGAACTTTCCTATAGAGAAGAGATGGTACAGCAATTACAGATAGTCCGAGGTGAGTTTCGCTTGTCAGGTGGTTTAGAAAGCTTGCCAGCATGCTAATTCATAATTAACATTTTAAAATGCGAATAACTCACATTCAGTTGTTTGTCCACAACAGACGTATTTTGCTATTTAAACTATAATTACAATCTAATTTTAGTGAGATTTCTACTGCTGCGTGTCATCACAAACCGACCAGTTACACGAAGTAGCCTAATTATGCTACAACCACCGACTTATTTTTCACTTGCATAGGCCTACATAAATTTCATGTTTATTTGAACATAAAAGCGAAGGCACTTTGCACTAAATGCAGGGTAACTCAAAAGGGCGTTACAATGATCGTTCAGGATGTGATACACTGCATATGATTTCCGTGTTTCTATAGGCTATTTGTTAAATATAAGAAATTATGTCTATGGTTTAGCGACCCATTAGGCTTCATATATTGTGACGTATTATTATTGCATATTGTGAGCCTGGCCTCGATGATTGCTGCTCTTCCAATCATTTGTTTTTTCTTTACTTATGTTCAGACACCTTATGCAGCGAGTTGGACCAAGAGAGAAAAGCTCGCTATGCAATTCAACAGAAACTAAAAGGTAATTTATCTTTTCGAATTATGTGACCGGATTACGTTGCGACTGTGTGTAATACGAGGCACCCAGCGAATATTCATCAATATGAACGTCCGCTAATGTATGACGCGCAGCTACATGGAAGAGGAGTACGGCGTAATTACCTACTGTTTGCTGATTATATTCGGCATTATTACATAAAATAATCTGTTTAAGAAGATCCATTCTAACTGCGTGACCTTGTGAGCTGTTTTAACCGATCTATGTACTTTCTCCCTAGAAGCTCACGACGCGCTACACCATTTCTCGTGTAAGATGCTAACCCCGCGCCACTGCACCGGAACCTGCTCCTTTAAACCGCCGCTCCTGCCTCCATAAAATCGGCATCTCCTCACTCTCACCGATCACAGGTCATTCAGGCCAAAAAGGCAGCGAGTCTATCCAACCGCCACCTGGCACAGTTCTAGGAAATACTTTGAGACTATTTAAGCACCGGAATCTCCAATAAAGTACAAACTACCACTGAAGGACTGTTACTGTTCAAGTTGTACATATATAACTGGTGTTAATATGACGCTGGAGCTGATTAATTGGTGAGCAAAGAGTGAATAGCGTATCCTCACTACTAATTTAAAAAGAAGAGCCGGTAGGTAGTAATCCGTTCAACAAATCCAGATTTAATTTTCCGGCTCACTGTATGTACTGTAGATTGTTAATATAAAGTTTTAAAGACCTCTGGTGGAGGATTTTGTGTAATCCTCTGAAAACGTCCAACCATCGCCTCTTTAGATATCATTGGCATATATTATGTGGCTATGTGCAATTAACATATATGTATACTGTGATTCTTTTCTTAGTAAAATAGTACTCTTCATTTTGATTTAGTTTTAATTAATCTATGTATGGATTTTTACATTTTTTTGTTGTTGTCAATATATGTTGTTTCCTCTCATATAAACTGTTTGTATATTATTGATGTAAAGCACTTTAACCTGGATAACCTATTGACTTAGATGTGTAATAAAAATCTTGTTTGAAAATTAAATGTATCCACCAAGTTTATCTGCATGGATCATTATTATTCCCGTGGTCAATAACACATTTCTTCTTAATTCTATAAATGTGTGGACTGCAAAGTCACTGTGACTATATGCTAAATAAGTGGTTATGGAAGATGCATAGATGAGTGGATAGATGCACGGCTGAGTGGGATTGCATAGTCTGGCATACTAGGCAGCACAGAGTGCTGTTTTGCAAGTGATTTTTAATTAACAATTAGTTGTCTGTCAGTGTAATCTCACACACAAATGGTATCACGTAGGCAGACACTTTCGTTCAGAGTAAGTAACACCATCCCTACCTTATGTCGTCACATAATTAAACAGCCAAAAACTTTACTGATATATTTCAGGGCGTATCGCCAACAGTCCTACTGGGATACACATCTTCATTCTTTAGTCTTTTTATACCAGTTACCCAAGTGCATGAATATTTCACAAGAAGGATGTAAATTGCAGCATTTTGAAATGTATAACTCTAAATAGTCAACCAGCACCAGATATCTACAAATTATAGACATTTGGACAAATAAATCCATCCATTGGTCCAAATAAGCAATAAATCATACTTTTATCGATATTTTTCCTCAGAATTAATCCTGTGCCCTAAAATGTTTCCAAATAGTTTTTCCCTTGAGTATTTTTATTCTTATTAATGCAATGGAGCTTTGATACCTTGCTAAAGGTGACGCATTCTGCTGTTTTTTCGCTTTTGAACAGGCAGGGTTTTGGGCTTAGGTTCAGCTGCATCCCATCATACTGTTAATCACCATACACACACACAGGAGATACAGCAGAGACCAGGACATTAAGTTCAACTTACAGAAGAGTTATGCAAGTTACAACTTATATATAATAACACTCCATTATAGAAAATTCACTCTATACCTTTTTACTTTTGTTCTGTATCTCTGATGCCCTGCTTTGAAAATGCCCGGGTGTGTGTGTGTGTGTTTGTGGGCCTGCATAGATCACATTTGGGGCCCAAAATATCCCAAAGTGTGGTAAAACCTGAAACTTCCTTATTTTTGGGGACATTTTTCAGGTTCCCTTTTGGATAACCTCAATTTTATGTAAATCTGTGAAGGCAATTAAAAACGTAAAGATACCAAAAGTCTCGTATTTTGGTTGGTTACTTATGGTTAAGGTTAGGGATGGGTAGGGGTTAAAGGCGTTGTGATTGGGATTAGGGTTTTTCCCATAGAAATGAATGGAAAGTCACCATTTAGATAGGTATGCCAACATGTGTGTGTGGATTATATTTATATTACGTTGTGGGGACCAAATGTCCCCCACAATGTAATAAAAACCTGTTATTTTGATGTTGTGGGGACCATTTTTCAGGTCCCTACAAAGATCTGAGAATGCAATTAAAAAACTAAAAATGCCAAAAGTCTCATATTTTGTTTGGTCACTTATGGTTAAGGTTAGGGCTGGACAGGGGTTAAGGTCAGCATGTTGGGATTAGAGTTTTCCCCATAAAAATAAATGGAGAGTCCCCAAAAAGATATAATTACAAACCTGTGTGTGCGTGTGTGCGCGCACGTGCGTGTGTGTACACGTGTACACAGCACATGGACTTGCACTGTGTACTGTCCATTTCCACCGAAGAAATATACATAAAATATAAACATACTTAATCAAAAGGTGCTACTTGGTACTTATAGCAGCAATCTAAATATTTTTAAATATTCCTTTCTTTACTTCATTACGCAGAGGTCAACGTTATTTCCCGTTGTCGTTTACATTATCCGATGTTCTCTTCTTGTATAAGACTTTCAGGTATATTTTCTTGTTGGTAGCACTCAAATGTTGCATTTGACAAACCGCTTTTCAAGGTACAGGTGTTTCCGTTCAACTGGTATGTTATCAGAGTGCCAAATAAATCTTCAAATAAAATACAACAGCGACATCTTTTGGTTAAAACACATAATAGCAGTTAATAAAAGGATGGCAAAATGCAATCTTTGATATTTATACCCGAAACTTAATTTCTGGTATTATGTGGATGCCAGGAGCGTCACTAGAGGTTTATGCAAGGGGTGCGGGGTAAGCCTATACTGGGCTGTCTGATTTTAATAAAAATGAACGAGAACACAGCATTTCAACTAGCTAAAGCCTCCCCCCAGAGCAGCTCCATCAGCACCCTGACGAGAGCCATTAAGTTGGATATAAACTCAGTGTGTAAATGTAGTTTGTCGGTGACCATGGCACTAATTAACATTTATGAAGCATTTTAATATACAGGTGACAGTGACTTTTCATTGGGATCAGGGAACACAAGCTTAGAATACCTGATGAAGAAAATCCTTCCTCCCCACTGCAATCAGACTCTATGACTCCTCCATCCATCACTCATCTTCACAATAAGGTGCACAGTAACTTACTGCTACCACAATACTTGTGCAATAACTGATGCTACCCCTACTTGGTTTCTAACATTTGAAATACATTTACCTATGATTACCTATGTGCAATATCTTTATTTTTACAATCTGTGACTCTGTGATACCTGGGCAATATAATTAAAAAGTGCAATATTATTATTATCCATGATTCGGTGCAATATACCTCAACTTTTCCCCACAGTTTGAAGTCTAAGTGGCTTTACCAACTACTGCAATATAGCCACTTATAATATTGGTGCAATATACTTTTACTTACTGTGCAATTTACTCCTATACATTTTTACTTTTCCTGTAACTTTTGGACAAAGGTATTTTAGACTCCTGTAGGGAGATTGTCTAGTTTATTTTTATTTTATTATAATGTTTAACAGTGCTCCAATTTGCTTTACACTTCATTCCTATTTTTATATTTATACTGTATCATTCTTGTCTTGGTGTCTATGTGTGGTTGTGCAGTCGCAATGTGAGAAATTTCCTCCGGGATCAATAAAGTCTTCTGATTTTGAAGAAACAGGACTGGGCTGGGAATAAAAATCGGGCCTGGACTTTGGGGGCTCCTGTGATGAATTTAGTTGCGCTGGGGGGTTGCCCAATACTGGGAAATTGCTTCATATACCATTTAGCCAGACTGGGCCTGTAAATAAATTATTTTAATAGCTTCTGAAACCGAGATTTCAAAAGCACATTTTCTTACATTTTTTGCCCATTATTGCAAGCTGAATTGCTTTGATTTTAACTTTTGATATTGACTTCAGTTAAGTTTTTTTCTATTATAGGGAGCAGTTACGGTTAATACTGTGACCATGTTTTAATCCACACTTAACTCATTTTATGACAAATTGAAGCGTAGGCCTATGTTAAATTACTTAAAAGTGCTTTACGCAGACAAAAAACGAATGCTAATAGTCATAAAACCGTTGTGTGTATGTAATACATCAATACATCTTTAGGACTTCAGGATGATGCAACCCTGTAGCGTAGGGTGACCAGATAATCCATGTCAGGGAGGACACTTTGAGCTACTTCGGGTTTTACAAACTACTTTCAAATTGAAAGGCTCCTGTGCTCGGCTAAATAGCTCAGCTCTTCTTGTGCTTTGACTGGTTTATTTCCTTGACTGAAAGACTCATCCAGCTGTTTCACATTAGCATTAGTGAAACATGCATGATTACAGGAGACTGACCAATCAGCACACAGCAAGAACTCAGTGCTCAAGTGAAATCCAGGTCCGTTTAATTGAAATGGTAATTTACAATACCTGTACTAGCTCAGAGTGTCCTCCCTGACATGGATTATCTGGTCACCCTACTGTAGCGAGAAATATATTTCATGGGGTGTCTGGCATAGGTCCACCTCGGTAGATTTTGTCGACCGGGGGGGTCAAACACGTAATTTTACTGCCTGGGATGATGTCATTTATATTGACGGTTCATGCCATGGTATCCCGTCCTATGAGAACTCACCACAGGATAGCTTTAAGACCACAAACATGCATAACTTCATTACAAGGCGACCAACACGAAACAAACCCCGCTTAATGCGCAGTATATTTGAAAGTGTGCGCGTGTACGTCAGCGTGTCACACGTCCGTCCCACGTGCCGGGGGTTGATCACGCCTGCGCCAAGAGTAACAAGATGGCGGAGAGTGCGGAACTGAAGGTAAAGCGCAGCTCCAAACCTGTATTTATTTAATAGGTTAATAATCGCTATTGCACCCAGTCGCGTTCGCGCGGCAATTTTTTAAACGCAAGCGAACTTTATTACTCGCTTATCTGTCCGCATGTAACGGGGAAAAGTCGAGGCTTCGACCGTCCCCACTTGGGTGCGATTGCCGTGCAGTGTGGACATGTTATTGTTGATGTTGCGAGCCCTCCGCTCAGTCGGCTAGCTGGCTAGCTCGCCGCGGGCTCGACGCCTCTTTTCTGGGCACGTCGCTGTGCCGAAGGGAGGGGAGCGTGAAGGGAGCGTGTCGGTGAGCGACGGTACCGTCGCCGTGCGCCGGCGAGTCGGTGGCGGCTAGCGCCCCGGCGCCTGGCTGTGTTGACGTGCTGTCAAGCGGTGGTAACGGCAGGAGCGCCGTGCTGCTGCGTGACGGAGCCGCCAGTCCGCTCAGTCTCCCCCGCCGACCCGTCCTTCTTTCTGCTGCCTGTATATCGCATCGTTTCTCTTCATTCGTTTTCCCACGAAGTGAGCTTAAGCGGTAGGATGGACACGGCGCCCGTGTGTCGTGTTTGAGTTGACTGATGTACGGAGTGAGGTGTAAATCGGCTCACATACGGATGTACGGGGAGACCGCTGTCGTTCGGGCGCTTGCTGCTGCTTAAACGGCGGCCGAGATGCACGTTTCTTAGCGTGGTGTACGGTTATATCCTGGATCTGCTCATCGCCGTGTGTGTTAACTTGAAGTTCCAGGTATTGAGTACTGGGTAAGTATGATGCTGGTCATTTTTTTTTTTTAACTATAAAACACTATAGCGTGTATTTAATATACCGTGAGTTTGTGCCGGATGTTTAATCGAATCTGCATTGGTTTACCTCATTGATGCAGATATGTACGTCAGATGTTTTGTGGTTTAACTTAATTTTGCAAGTTGCCTGTTGGTTTGCAGTTCCACTGCATGTTCATCCTATATAAATTTGAGCACTTATGAGTAATTCGTCAGACCTGTAAGTAACAAAGCCCAGTCTGACTGGAAGTCATTCCGGAATGGTGGAAGTAGATTAGAGTGGTCGATGTGTATCTTTTTGTCCAACTTCCCCTCTGCAGCTGCGAGGAAGGCGGACGGTCTGATCTGATCGAGCCGTCATTGCTCCTGTTGTCTTCAGTGGATGTTTGAATAGACCTCCTAATTGACCTGTTGCTTTGAGATTTGTCGATATGGCTAATAGGCAGCGGTGGATACATTGTGCCTATTCATTATTTACACATTTATGAATATATAACAACACTCTTATTATTGCTTGTTAGAAAGCAGGATATGTTGCCTGGGAATGAAATGTACAGATTAAAAAAAAAAAAAAAAAAAAAAAACTGAAACCAAATTTAGGCTCATGTATTTACTAAGATGGAGTCTTTGGCCGTGACAATGACCGTACTCTTTGCGTCGCTATGGAATGTAGAGTTTTTTTTATTACTATTATTATTTTTACGTCCTGACCTCTTGCGTACTTGCAAAAGGGCACATATACCAATCATAGATCACTTGCTAAAACACAAGTAATAGTAACCATGGGTGGATGATCCAAAATGTGAAGAGGAAGTGCAGCGGTATTTATAAATGTCAGGGATGTTTTGTATTTTTGGGTTGCACCTTCATATTTAGGTTTGACATGATACCCAAGCAGTGGATGGAAGTTAGTCATGAAAGATTCTATCAGACTCATGCATATCACTGCCGTTTGTGCTCTAACCTCATTGGAACTTTCATATTTTCACTAGTGGTCTGTGGCACCAAACAGTCCAATTCAGCAGAGTGACATCTGAATTGCTGAGTGTAATTGCAGGACCGCACTCATCTACGCAAGGCTCGGCAGTTACAGCTCCTGTAGCCTTGTCTGGAATGCAGAGTTGTTTCTCTGTTTCACAGTCTGTAGAGCAGAGTCTAGAAGTGTCCATGTGTGGGTGGAGAGAGAGAGGGAGCGAGAGAGAGAGAGAGAGAGATGGAGTGCGCATATATGTGTGAAGAGAGGAGCCGGCTAGTGCCAGGTAACACTGAACTGCATCTGCTGTGGTGGACCAGGGCACAGGCAGCTTGCAGTGACCTGTCGCCCAGCCCCGGGCATCCAGACCCCAGTCTGTCTGTTCTGGGGTCATGTCTTGTGGATGTCATCTGCGTCATGTCAAGTTTGTTTATCCAATGACCTGCAGTGGATCAGTTCCCCTCTTGTATGCAGTATTTCTTGACATATTTTGCTCTTCGGGTAGAACTCTAGGTAGCATGGTGTTTCGGGAAGTGAACTAGGAATTGAAAGGTTGCTGTTCTGGGCCCTGGGAGATAACCTGATGTAACCATAAGCACGGTAGTTTTAATGGAAAAATCCACTGAAACTCTCTTCTTTTATGTTTAATGTGGTATGAATCTTATTCCAAATATTGCTTGTTTATTTAACCTAAGTAATAAAACGAGCCTTTTCAGGGCTTGTTACCTGGTCTGTGTACATGGCTGGTAGTTGGCAATGTTTCCATATTTGCTATGATGTTGACCAACCTTCCAGTAGCACTGAGAATCCTGAGGAATGGAGCATTAGGAACCTGAAACCTTCAGAGGTTTTTCTTTTTGTCTGTATAGAACATATACATCGTTGTTGTTGAGTATGCTGACAGACAGAACATCATTTAATAATAGAAACCTGTAGTTACAATGCCCACTAGACAAATTCTGAGGATTTACAAAGAGTCCGTATTCTACTTCCCATAGTCTACTGATAATGCTTCTTTTTGGGCCAAAGGTAAGTTGCCATTGTTTATACGAATTTTAAAGTAACTTTGAAAAAAAAAATTTTGCACTTTAAATTCTCATACAGCATGTAGACGTAGGATTTTCTAAAGCATTTACTAAAACACAGGCATAGCCTAGGTTACAATGGAGATCCATTCCCTAAGTCTGTCTATAAAGCCGAATTTGTAGGTAAGTTGGAACAATAAGAATACAAAACGCAATAGTAGTAATGATAATACAGTGATATGACTCCATGCAGTACTGTACTGTACCTCGGACAGACAAACCGCTAAAGCCACGCAGTGTTTTCACAAGTGTCTCAAAGTAGTGTGCGTATTCGTTATTACGAACCATAGTATTTAAGTCAAATTTTTAATGTAATAGGCTTTATGGCAGTCCGTTCGTAAGTAGGGGTTGTTCTTAGCCCAGAGACTGCCTGTAAAGTGTAAGAAGCTCTAAATAAGTCTGATATTTAATAAGAATAATAACCCTCAAACTGTTTCCAAATGACAAGGCTTCACTCAGTCGTCATGTGGGCCTTATTAACATGCTGCCATTGCAGTCATAATCAGTTAATGCTTTTTCAAGACGGATCATAAGGATAATCAGCCTTTTAACGTTGATCAGGCTGCCTCTCGGCACATTGTAATATCTACTTAATAATCACAATTTTCAGAAAGTTGAATCAATGTTTTCAAAGACTCAAAAGTAACAGCAAAATTTACAAGACTTCTAATGAAAGTGACATGACATTGTTTTAACTTGTGGAGTGCTTTTTAGTTTGATGCATGCTTTTGTGTGTAACAGTCACCAGATGCTACTTTTGGTGATGAAGTGTGTCAGAACATAGCCCCCCCCAGCTTCTGTTCTTAACTTAAAATAAGTTGTTGTAATACAGGCAAATCTGTTTCAAAGATGGTTCCATTCTGATGTTAAGAGATCTAGCTTTTACCGCTGGTTCCTGAGAAATCAGAGGTGTGTTTTATACATGACAGTAATGCTTTCTTCTGCAGACTTTTACTTAGCACAGAATTCAGTCCCACTGCAGTAATGTTCGAGACCCTCAGTGTACAGTAATGTCCCCTTTGATTTGCAGAATCAAGGTATAACGTCAAAGCCTGGTTTCGTCATGGTCGTCATCCTTTGTTTCGACTGGAGTCTGATCTCCAGAGCAGAAGGGTTACCTTGTACCATTGAGGTTCTTATTTACGTTGTACTTAAAGGCATTCAAGTAAGAAATGCGTGGAGGGAAGAGGGTTTGCATTGACAGGAAGTTTTAATTATCTAATTTGTCTTTTTTAATATTTAACTCTTAGGATGCACAAAGTGTCTTTGTATGGTACAGTTCAGGGTCCATGAAGCTGCTGAGTTTTCTTCTCAATTATTTGCCTGATGAGCTGCAGTTAGCATAGTGGCTAAGGACAAGCACTTGCTTGAAGGTTCCCAGGAGAGTCCATTCTGTTGATCCCTTTGGGACAATTTAATCTAATCTTAATCTTTACATGTGAGATGTTCCTTAGCGTGATGCGATAGAATTGATATTACGTTTGGAGGAAAAACATTGGTTAAACAAACAAATGATTAGTGCCAATAAATATTAGTGCATTCTCTTATCTGTTTTTCTTCACTACTTTTTATAAACATTCTTTCATCTGAATTTCCCTTCTTGAAGAATTTTGAGAGCAACAAGGTGAGAAATGCCCAAAAATTGAAGTGAAGATGTCAACTAGAACTAAGTGAAAAATGGCGACCCCATGCCCCCACGAGGCCAGAAGCTCTTACCTTAAGTGACAGAAACGGCAGGTTTTGCTTAGTGGAAATGACCAGCAAATGGAGTACAGAACATGTTTTACATTTAATACAGGTTTGGAAAACATTTTTTAACTGCATGTGAAGAAGTGCCTGGGCCGTCCTTAAAAACTAGTTGTGAACTTCAGTCACCTTGGCTGCTGTCCCAAATTCCTAAAAAACAGTGGGCAGTAATATGTGTCTAAGTGTCCTTGATACAGCTGCTTAGGCAGGTAAAAGCATTTGTTGACTGCATGCAGGCCAGAGAAACCTTATCACTGTAACTCCCCTATCATCTGAAAAACTGCTTGCTTCTATGTTTCTGGAGCATAATTATGGTGTTTGCAGCTTGGAGGCCAGCATGGAAGCAACCCTCCCCCCCCCAAGCAAGTAAGGTTTGAAATGGGAAATTATACAGTCCTGGTCATATTTAGAAAATCAATGGCAAGTAACTTGGTCAGTTTTTTTTAGGGGCAGGACTGAGGGAGTTTTGGGCATTAATCAGCTAAGCCTTTTGCAGAAACCTGCTTGGTGAATGACTTGTGGCATGATGGGAATTTCTCTTCAGGAAGTGATAGGAGAGGTGAAGGACTGGCGAGATGTCTCAGCTCCATGCTGTCATTACAGTAGGGTTGGGTTGGGCCTGCTTTTCCCTTTTGTGTTAGACTACACAAGTGCGATGTGCATTTAAGATAAGATGAGACAGGTGATTGGGAGGTTCGTGTTTCTTGGTATTATGCAGTCAGTTGATTCTGTCTTTTAGCGGCCTTGACAAGGTGAAGACCAAGCAGTGTTCATGTTGTTTTTGCAGAGTAAACATCTACTTATGGTGATGTTGTTCTTACTGATAGTAGTATTAACAGACGTGTCATAGTCCGTACACCAAGATGTGACCTGGAAGAAAACATTTGGAAAAATAAATAAAAGGCTCACCCTCCCTCTGAAAGTTGACACTCAGGTAGGTTTTAGCCATAAGGATGATCTTCTCCAGCCTCCAAGTAAATATTTTGGTCTGTTGTGGCAATTACTTAGCAAAGCTATTTTCTGCCGGCACATGGACACTTCATACATTGTAGATTTACAGAAAGGTTTGGCCACTGTGGGCAGTTAACTCTACCAGCCAGCCTCCCCACTCCCCGATAACAGCGCTGCAACGGCACAGAGAACATTATCTGTGGTGCTCAGGCTGTGAGGCCGCG